ATTATGTCTGCCACTTCTTTTTCTCTTTGTAAATAATATTGTTGTTGATTATAGAATTGTTGTTGCCAATCCACGTCTTCCTCATGATCAGAGGGTAATAATGGTTCCTGTTCCCTGAATCCAGTAAAGGCTGAAGGTGGAATTGGATCCTCAGAAGCAGGTGGTTCTTCACGTTGTTTTCCATGAATAGTTGATCCAGAGGAAGGTCCTGGAGGTGGTGGTGGTGGTAATATGTTAATAGAAGTAGAAACATCTGGAACATAAACTCTGCTTCCAGAAATTCGTGGAGTTCTTTTATAATGAGATGTTGGTGGTAATTCTAATTCCTCATCTCCATCATCCGCCACATCTTGATTATGCATTTGAATAACTGAAGACATAGCTTCTTTATATAATAAATTCTTTAAATAAGAACTAATTTTGATATATTTTTAAATGAGAATGAAAGATAATGTTTATGATTGATTTGAATAATTTTAATTTTAAAGATCTTCTGTTGATAACCACGTGAATAATTTTTATTGAATCTTGATGTAATATAATATAATTTGCTTGTTGATAATGATTAAAAGAGAAATTGATTTAATTATAAGTTGATTTTAATTTGTCAAGCCCGGGCAGAGTCACCAATATGTAGAACTTATAACCCAACAAGGGTTATACAGAGCTGGAAGAGGATAATCTACTAATAAAATGACTAGTAGAAGTTGTCTAAGGACTGCTCTTCTAAAACAACACAATCAGAAAGAGCTCTGTTGTATTGAGTACTGATAAGGCACCAGAGAAATATAACTTCACACGTAATTTTAACTTCAAAAGCACACTTTGTATTACTATCAACACTGCTATAGTGTTATTCCCAATTGATAACTGAAAAAAAATAAGCAATATCTGATTGATATTATTCCCAATAAGTCTTTATGACTATAAAACTAAAGTAAATTTCTCTTTATAACTGTAATAAAGGGCGTATTTAAGTGAACAGGTACTATTAAAATAAGTTTATGATGATAAACAAAATAATAATGGCGTAAATGATAAAAAAGAAAAAAAAAGGGGAACAACAGTCCCAAAACCCTCTCAAAGTATATATAACAATGTACTAGAACTTTTACAATGGTCAACAGCCTCAAAACCAATCAAATCCGCCCAAAATTCCCTAAAAACCCTATGATGACGCAATGTAATGGTTTTGTTACTAATAAATGATGTAATTTTCACAGCTAAAAGTGATCAATGACGCAATAATATGATGTACAGCACTTCTTATGATGAATACAGGTGATTTTTTCCTTGTAAACTAGCTGAAAACCAATTTTTGAGATTACGAATTTTTTCAGATGTGCTCCAATTTTTGATTACTAAAGTGCATCTTGTAGTCCACGTGTTACTGATCATTTCTGACACCTACATGACCTACTTCTGATGAGTGATGAGTAAGATATTGAGTTGTGAAGTTAAGGTTTTTAGTGTTACATATGACTTGTGACTGTAAATTCGAGATTCACACCAATTCTTTATTTGCCTTATAACTTTTTACACACACCTCCGTTACTAATGATTTAAAGTTTGTACATTATGTGATCCACTCTTCTGCGTTGAATGAGCCATCTACCAACCTATTCTGACGTCATTTGACATATGTAATTAGCTGAAAACCTCCATTTTCCACGAATTTCACCCATTTTCTTCACTTTTCACAGCTACTACTAAGCCTTTCTTGCTCATGTAATATTACATCATCATCTATAGCCTTAAAAATCCCGGAAAATCCTCTTGGCAACCTTAAATTCCATCACTACCACTATTACACAACCAAACTACACGTGTACCTCTTGTTTACCAACTTTGAAAAAGTGCTTTTTTCCTAATAACTTCTGTTTCTACTTATCAACCTTGAAGATTAAAATTGTCATAGTATCATATAATGTTGTTCTTTCATATTCTAACCTCATAATACCCATAACTTTATTTTTACTAACCTAAAAACCATTTTCCAACCTTTATACCTATAATTTCGAATTTTTCTTATGTTTTTCTTTCTTTCTTTTTGTAATAAATTTGTAAGTAAACTATAATGATCTTAATATATAATGTGAAATAAAATGATGTAATGTTGACCTAATGACCAATACATAAGCCTACAAGAGCTTCAATTGATCAAAAACCTCCATTTCGAATTTTCTTTCCTGCTGAATCCTGCTAATAAACTGGTAAACTGGTAATTGTGAATTTTTTAATTGATCCCATAAATTGATCACCACAGCGCGGCAATAGATTCCAAATGGAAAGCTCCTCTCTCTTGAGACGCCGTCCATTAGAGAGTGGACAATAGAATCACAAAAAACACTTTCCCACACTTGCCAAACTCGCACGCGATTATCTGTTGATCTCCGCCACATCCTGTGCATGTGAGCAAACCTTTTCGGCCGCTGCCGATATCTGTACGCCGTCACGAGGTAGCATGCTCCCCAAGACAATGGAGCGGTTAGTTGGGTCTCAAGCTTGGCTAAAGGAAGGTATCATCCCCCAAGGAGTATTTGAAGAAGCGGCTGAAGCCCTTCAATTTTACATAGACAAGATGACAAAAAAAAAGGGCTAATCTTGTAATTTCATTCTTTATCAATATTCCTTTTATTTTTCTTTTTCTATGTTTGCTACAAAGCCAATTTCTTTTTCCATACTACCCTTGCACTCGCTGTTCTCCACTACATAGCGCGCCATATAGCGATATAGCGCGCTATATGGCGACCTATAGCAAACTGCTATATAGCGCCTATATAGCGGTATGTACCGCTCCGCCACTGTGAGAAAAAAATTTTGTACTAAATAGCGCAGCCTCGTAGCGCAGGCTGCGCACCGCCATTGAGATGGCCCAAATCCCATAGCGTAGCGTAGCGGTTTGGGTGTTGCATAGGTGAGCAAGCAAACCTGTAGTATAGGGCAGACTGTGAGAGAGTGGAAGAATGAGAAGGCAGATTCTCTCTCACCCTGGACCTCTCTAATGCCATAAGTGGTCCAACATGGGTATAGCATCATGGCTCAGGTTGTGGGCGCACTCGTATTTTTGTAGGCGCGCCGAGGCACGTTTTTTTCATTTTTTCACGCCTAGGCACCACTTGGAGCGCTGGCGTGTTTTCTGACAAAAAAAATTTGCTGAAAGCCAAAATGTTGTCTTTGTATTGTTATTTATTCTATGTTTGTTTCGCTAGAGGAGTCTACTACCGCAAAATTGCCTTTTTCAGGTGAGAAAAGCTAAGAACAGATGTCATCAAAGCGCACAGCCAGTGTCCAAGTCTCCAATATTGGTGACAGGACAGAGAACTCCTACAATTTGGTGTGATTCTTGAAAAGGCGCGCCCACAACCTGAATCATGGCATTGAGTCTAAGGCTGTGGCCCCAACCGGACCCTGCACAACCAGCATATTTGGCTTGGAGCCAAAAATCCAATGAGTCCATGGATTTTGACTCCAAGTGAAGCACCATCCAAGGATCCGATCTGAGGCAATGGTCAGGGCCAAAATTTGCCTCGGAATCATCCCTTGGGTTCCCTTTTCCTTGGGGGCACCATATGAGGACTCCTTGGACATTTGTCTCTGAGCCAAATATGCAAAGGTTCACAAGGGCCCCTTGGGTGTTGCAAGTTCACAATCTGGCCAGGTTGGTGTCAATTTTTTTTGCCACCAAGCTTATCAACAAAGATTGGATCAACAAACTTTGATTCACACACAACTTACTGTCATTTGTTATCCCCTGTCCAACAGGCTTTTCTCCTGTCTGGCCTCAGGGCCCAGCTTTTTGACCCTGCACTGGTTAGCCTGACCTGTTTTCAGAAGCCCTTGGGTCTGACCAGGTCCGGACCTGGCCGTGCAGCCGGCCCTGAGATTGCAGGCCACATCCCTAATTGGGTCTACCCTCTGCTTCTTATCTCTTGGCTCTACCCTCTGCTTCCCATCTCTTGGCTCTTACCCCATATGTAATGGACTTCAAAGACACCTCCACAGTCTCTGTGTACTCTACTAGTCGTTCTTTTGATGTTAAAATTCAAATGCTTCACCTTATTTGCTAGAGGCCAAAAATAGCTATATTCAAACCTAACCTGGTTATACAAAAATCTGGTATACCTAGTCAACTTTTTGGCTGGAAGTTGTCAAGAGATGTCAATAGATACACAAAGTTACCACCAAAAACACAACTGGGTGTACTGGGTTTTTGTATCAACCAGGTTAGGTTTGAACATGGCTACAGTCAAACCCGCGCAAACACATAATTTGGGTGGAAGACTTTTGCTATGCATTTTGACGGGTTATACATTTCTGTTGTCAAATTTGGCAGTAAAAAGTATCAAGATTCAAGATTTTTTCTATGCATTATCACGGGTTATGCACCTGCGCGGGTTTGACTGTAATGTTTTGAATTGTATCTTTAAATCAACTTTGAACTGTACTACATCCCAGTGAAATGTATACAGGACAAATAGAGAGGTTCAGGTCAGATTCTGAAAGATTTCCCCATAATATGACTGTTCCACATCAAAATGCCATGTAATCAAAAAATCTCAATTTTTTAAAAAGACTATCAGAAAGCTCCATGTGATCAAATCACATGCTTCACATTTTGTTTTTCCAAATCAATCCATTTTGAAGGGCTGTTAAATAAATCTTCAGACATGTTTGGGCCAACTTGAACTCCACTAAGATCTCTAATTGTACATCATCCAAGATCAAAAGTTTCATAATCAAACTTCAAAAGATCTCTTGAACACTAAGAAGATTTCAATTCCAAATTTAATTGTCATCTATCTTCGAATCTTTCTACAAATCCAAAAAATCAAAGGATAAAGAATCATACAAACAATCTTTTTCATCAAACCCCATTCCTTCCAAGCCACCATTCACTTCCCCAAAACAAAACAAAAAGTTATTACTTCAATTTCATTTTTTTGTCTCTTTCTTTTATATACTACAATAATTAGTTTTTTATATGTTTGGGATGATGATTAAACATAACGAGACCTTAACCATTTTAATAAGTTTTTACTTCCATCTGATCCTTCATAAACTTTTCTTAATGGAACTCTAAACCGATTACCAGAAACAAATAGATCATCAATCGATAGAAATCCTAAAGAAGGTTCCAACTAGAGAAAAATCCAATCAGATATCATCAGGATGAAAACTTTATAAGAAGATAAATGAAGCAGTGATGACGAAATCAAAATTCATACCTTAACAATATGATTATCACGTAAATCAATACACTTCCATTTATAATCCCTTACAAACTCATCAAGTTCATCATCACATTCTTCTTTCTCATCATCATCTTCTTCTTCCTGATCTTTTAATTCCTTTAATCGGTTTCCAATCTTCACTAACCCGATCAATTCTTCAATCAGATTTCCTCTCAAATCGATCTCTTCCAAAAACCATAACTTTTCAATCCCTTCTTCATCTTTCAAAACATTATAACTTAAATCCAATTTCTTTAAATTTTTACATCCCTTTGAAATCCATTCGAACAGTTCTTTACCAACTTCAAAACAATTTCCAGAAAGGTTTAATTCCATCAATCCATTCAACGAATCCTTTACGACTTCTAAATCTTGATGACTTAATCTATTCCTAGATACATTTAAACTTGTGATTCTACTTGATAAAGAGATCCATTCTAATGGGATTCGGTTTAAAAGGTTTTGTGATAGATTTAAAGTTTGAACTAGATTCTTTTCAATTGTTTCAATCATGTCTTCTCTAATATCCGAATCTTGAATATGTTGTGCATGTAAATCAAGTGTTAAAGTTTCTGAATGATAACCATTTTCTATCATTGCTTTAATCTGATCATATCTTGAAGGTGTGACTCTTTTTGTTGGCTCTGATGGTTTTGTGGACTGAGCAGTATCAAGTGAGAGATTCTCAACGGCTTCTACAATAGTATCAAACTCCTTCTTAGCTCCTGTACTCGTTGTTTTGGTTGTTGTGTCCGTGGTAAGTGGTGCAGCTGGTGCGGAGGCCACAGCACTTTTCATAGCCTTCCTTCTTCTACTCTCATTCCTTAAAAAATTCTCATGAACCAAAACCTTTAAAACCTCTTCAGATCCGCCTTGAAGATTTTCAATCCCATTCGGTAATCCAACATACTGTAATCTTTTCTGATAACAATATTGTTTGAAAAAGCCTTCTAGCGGACCAAGTGAATCGATCCCATTATTAGATAAATCTAATTCCTCTAGATTCTCAAACAATAATCCTTTTTGGGTTCCATTTCCTTCTTGATCTTCAATATCTGATAATTGATCATACTCCGAATCGACTTCGAATCTAAACACACAATCATTAAACCCACAACCACTCAATTTCAATTTCTTAAGTTCAGTCCAATTCTTCGGAACCTCAATCGGTTCTTTCAACGGATTTTTAGAAAGATCTAATTCGATTAATGAATCAGGTAATTTGATGGCTTTTTCACCAAAGATTGAATTAGAATTAAATCGATTCGAACTCAAATAAAGTTTTTCTAATAATGGAAATGGATTTGAACTTTCATGAAATCCTTCTTCTTCTTCTTCTTTTTCTTTTCGTTTTTTTCTTTTCGAAGGAGAAGAAGGAAAGAAATCAAAAAATTCAACTTCTTCATTCATCAAACTAACTTCACTAATCCTTCTACTTGGATCTTCTTGATTTGTTGAATTCTTCATTTCATTTGATTTCGATGGTTTTCCAATTTTAGATAAAGTTTTTTTCAATAAACTATCCCAATTCGGTTTCCAAAGTGTTTTTAATAAATTATTCGATAAATTCAATTCTTTTAAGTTCACTAATGAAAGTAATGGTAATGGGAATTCCTCAAATTTGTTGGATGATAGATTTAATTGAACTAAATTGATCAAGAGTCCAAACGAGCTCGGTAAGCTACTTAGTTGGTTATGATGAACCTAGATGTCAATATTAGATCAGTATATGTATTGATGTGATCAAGAGTTTATAGGAAAGCAAAAACGTTACATCAAGATGTTCTAAACAATCAAACCCTCCGAGCTCATAATCCAATTCACTGATCTCATTCAAAGCAACATTTAGATACGTCAGATCAACTTTCTCATACCATTTCACTTCTTCTTCTTCTGCCTCTTCTAGTTCATCTTTTTCCTCTTCCTCTTCTAATTCATCTTTTTCATCCTTTTCATCATCATCTTCTTTCTTTTTAGCTTGAAGTTTAAGTTTAGTAGGTGTAAGATTAGAAGGATGAAAAATCGAATGTGATGGAATCAAATCTTTATATACTCTCATTGGTATTTCATTCATCATTCTAGAACCTAAATTCAATCTCCCTAAACTCAAAAGAAGGTCAGTTTTTTCAAAAAAACTAACAAAAAAACCAAGTCTTGATTTTTCATATCATATATATCCAAACTCACCTGTTCTATGTGCTTTTTGAATTAATTTGTGAATGGATTGAAACCCCCATTGAGGACTTAAATGATCTTTCGAAGGTGATTTTTGTTTTTGTTTTCTTGCTTCTGCCAACATCTCACGTATAGATTGAGTAGGTTTCGAAGGGGTAGCTTTAGATGCAGATCGATTCGTCATCGAAGTAGTCGATCGAACCGGTGTAGGTAAATCATCTGGTATTTGTCCATGCGTGAATCGATGGGTTTCATTCACCATATTATGAATTGATTTGGGTCTTTTCAGTTGATGATTTGATGGTGTAGTTCTTGATGATGAGGATGATGATGATGCTAGTTTGGTAGGTGTAAGACATGTTTTGGATAGATTGCTGGTCGTTGATTTGTTAGATAGATTAGGCGTTCGAGGAGGTACAGGTGATCTTGGTGATCTGGTCAAATTACTTACATTCGATCTGATAGATAAATTAGGTGTTCTACTTGTGAGGGGAGTCTTACTAGTAGGTGCAGGTGATCTAGGTGATTTAGGGAAAGATGAGGGTTGTGTGATTAGATTCAAAGGTGTAGTTTTGATATGATTGTTCTTTAGAGTATAACTTGGAAATGAAATGCTGGATGGTGATGGTGTTGGTTTTGGTTTTGAATTCGATCTTGAAGTTGGAATTGGTAATCTTGATTTGATTTGATTGATGGGTGTTTGTTTTGGTTTAGTTGGTGTATCTTCAACTTCTTGACTTGGTTTGTGAGTGAAGTCTTGTCCTTGATTCGGTGTTTGAGGTTGAATTGAGTGTGATGCTGAGTCCATCTGATCCATCATCCTGAGTTCTTGACCAACATCTTTTCCTTCATGTCCATTCGACATTGGATCAGCCTTCGTCGCATCTTCAATACTTGCTTCTTCGATCACCATTTCAACCTCCATCGCGAGATCCACGCTTCTTGTGATTTCAATCAAGATGTTTCCTATTCAAATATTTCACCGTGTTCACTCGTCTGTTCCTGTCGTCTTGTCTTGAGGTCAATATTCGCTAATCTCTATTTGATTGAATTTCCTTTGAGTCAGTTATTGAACCTGATGACAACACTCATAGTTAATGTTCTAGCCTTTAACTTATTTGATTCATTCAGCGTCAGATAATGTGGTTGATTAAGATCTATTCTTTCCTTCTTGTAGTATTGTAGAATTGTATGTTGATAAATTCTTCAAACCATGCACGCGTTGTTGATTGAAGTTCAATTTGGTTTCGGGAAGGTCGCGACTGATTTGCTGACCGAAAAGTACCGAGCTGTACCGACTGTCTTTTGGGGGTCTACCTCCCAAAAGCCATACGCTCATGTGGTTCAAGTATGCCAGGGAGCAAATTCCAGAATGACCATGACAGGGAGTCTCTGGTTTGGCAAAGAAAAAGACTTTGTATGGATGTTTCTCTAGAATACTCGAGGAGGTAGATAGTAGCCACATGTATCAAGAAAGAAGATTATTGAGTCAGGAGTTGAGTAATTGGGTCAGGAGCAAGAAAGCTATCTCCTTGATTTACCCTGTCCATTGTTTTCTTGCCAAGATCATTCCTAGGAAGAAAACTTGATCAAAAATATAGTATAGTATCAAGTGATGAAAGGTGAGAATCATGTAAACCTTCAATTACCAAAACTTAAAACCCATCACAAGATCAGCTTTGGGAAGCTCATGACATCACTGCTTTTCAATGACATTTCATTCTTTTTTAGGGTTGACCAAGAACCAATCGGTCACGTGTCAAATTAAGTGCTGTACAGGTTTTATGTTAAGATCACAAAGACAAAACTCAAATTAAGGTTAATTTGAGCAGATTAAGTTTCAAGATACTTACAGCCGTTCCTAGAAAGCTTGGACGGTTGATTTTGTTTTTGTCCTGTTGTGTTTTTGTATTTGCTTTTACAAAAATGCTTCGAAATCACTTTTTAGCACTGATTTTTTGTTCCACAGCTCTTATCTCATAGTACACTGCGACTATCGAAGAAAAATGAATATTTTATGGAGCGCACTTCTTTTCTACAGTGAGTTTCCTTTATAAGCATGGTGATGGTCGCACACAATCCTTCTCGCGGCGACGCCGCGGGTCGGGTGCCCCGCGGGGTCAGCAACTCTTTTTTACACACGCGGGGTCAGCTGACGCTGTCAACCTCTCACCCTTCTCGATTCTAGCCCTTTCTCCTCATTTGATCCCGACCTACCACCATCGATCACTTCCGCATCCGACTACCAAAGGTTGAGGATCTCATTCGGTTAGAATATTGAGAACCTCATTAAACTTGAGGATCCCAGCTCGGTTAGACTTGGGAACCTCATCAACTTTGGATGATCAACCTCGACTCTAGACCCTTCGACTCTCACCCTTCTTTCGTCCCTTCGAACTCTTCCTTCATCTTTCTGATGGTTTTTGTCAAGTACTCGGCCGACATCAAAGTTATCGCTGTACGCCTCAAGCTTCGAGGAGAAGATCTCAACTCGATCAATGACCGACTTGATATCAAAATCTCGCGTCAGTCTTTGGGGAGATGGACACAACTGTATCTCACCACAAACTCTGTACTCGCCAATCCTCAGTTCTACAAAACCCGAGGTGCTCCGACTATTCTTTCAGCGGGGCAACGAGCATTCATCAAAGAGATGCTCGAAGACGACCCGACTTTATACCTTGATGAGATTGCTGAGCGTCTTCAAGCTCGAACCGAAACTCCAATTTCAATTTCGACTCTTGCGATCAAGATTCGAGACCGGCTGGTCCTTACTCGTAAAGTTGCAAGAACGGTACATCCAAATCAATCACCGATACGTCGAGGTGAATATCTTTACGAAGTTGGTGGAATAAATCCAGATTGTCTTGTGTTCCTCGGTGAGTTTTTTCTTTTTCCATCTCACTCTCATTCCATAAAACTGATGATACTCTGATTTTTGATAGACAAAAGTGCCATAGCCAAACGAAGGCTCTACCGTAAGTACGCTCGAGCTAATCGGGGTCAACAGACTGAGCGGCTCCGAAGACCTACCAACTCTAAACAATTCACTGTCCTGCCAGCTATTTCTCTAGATGGTTTGCTTTCTCTTCAAGTCAAAGAGGGATCTTTCAAGCAATTAGACTTTGAAACATACCTTGAAGAATATCTGGTAAGTACATCACAAAAAGTCATCTTTCTCTTTTCTCAATCTTGGACACTAACTGATTTCCATACATATTGCCCTTCATCACACATCACTAGCTACCAATGATGAACCCATGGCCCGAAGTCAATTCCTGTCTAGTACTCGATAACGCTCCTGTCCATCATGGCGGGGAAATCGACAATCTTTGCGAACGGTTCGGTGTGCGATTGTTATACCTCGCCCCATACAGCCCTGACTTTAATCCGATTGAGAAAGTTTTTTCAGTGGTCAAGAGTCGTTTGCGTCGAACTCGAGCCCTGATTGGAGATTTTACGTCTGAAGAAGAAGAAGAGATTGTTTACATGACCACTGAAGATGTGATCACACCGAAGTTGATTAGGAGCCTATATGAGGGCTCAGTTTACTTGTAGCTATCTGAACTTGTGTATCAAATATGTAATACTTCTAATCAGACATAGAATAGCTTTTAAAAAACAACTATGATTTTTTCATCTTTTATTGTTTTTCTTATCACTAAGTTTTAAAAAAGGTCTATAGTTTTTTAACTTCAATTTTTTTCTTAGTACTAAACCAAGTTGTGAGTCTACTGTGGCCTGAAAAGATTTCTCTAGTATTACTCTCGAAATAAATATCAAAAATTCACGTTTGAATCAATTCAATTCATTGAGTACAAAACAAACACAAGTTTATATTGCAAAGTACAATACATATTGGACATAATAATCGATTATGAGAGTACATAACAACAGAGTAAAATATTTAAATGAGGTGTCCAGGATGTCACGAGAAGAGATCACAAGATCTGGCCACCTTTGCTGAGATTCCTGAGAGCAGGATTTGAAAGAAGGGGATTAAATTTGGTTAACTTCGATCAAATCTGGATGGGTTGGAAGAAACCTTGTTGAATTGATTCTCTCACTCGAATCCCAAATCTCTGAGCTCCTGAGATCAGTTTTCTGGCAGTTGCAGGTAAGAATCCTTGTTTGATTAAAGCATCTAAGCCGAATCCTTCTGCTTCGTTTTCTCGGAGATCAGTCCAATGATCAAAAGCCATAATCTCCAGCTTGTTTCGAGTTTCTATGTCGTTAGGCTTGATGCGTGCAAAGGATAAGAAATCTTCGAATGTTCCGCAGTAAGAGCTCATAAAGAGACGCTCGTCCATGTCTGAAATCAAACTAGGTTCTAACTGTGAGGTTGTCGGAGCCGGAATACAAGCTGCAGCTGCAGCTATAGGTGCAACTACAAGTGGAGGATTTGGTTGTACTAGCAAGTCTTGCTCTTTCACCATCCTGACCCTATCCAATGGTGAGATGCCATTAGGATGGAATCGAAAGTCAATTGTTTTTGGTGGACTTTTCAGTGTGACATCGAACCGACCAGATCGCTGATCTTGAATCTGGGGAAAGCAAATACATCAGTTTCCTGATTTGGTTCAGGATCAAATGACATGTAAAGCGAGTTACTCACTATGATGTCAGCCCATGTTCTTGCCCTGGAACTGGTGACTCAAAAATAATTTTTGCTATTGTCTGGATCATAGCAGATGGAATTATCACCTTTTCGGTAATAGGTCAAGATTTTTTCTACAAGTGAAGAATGCTTGTTTGCTGAACCAGGGACTGGGAGTTCAATTTTGTCTCTAGATTGATTTGCTGATTTGTTTATCTTTCGTATCTTGTAGGCTCTCATAGAAGCTTCTTGAGATTCGATCTCCTGTCGGGCTTGTTGTATACGTGAAGGGTCTGCCATCTTCAAGAGAAGATTGACAAAGTGAGTTGGTCCAAGATCTTGAATAATCTGAATAAAAGTACTCCATTCATCTTCCTCATCAATATTGTAAAAAGGTCCGGCTCGTGTTGGTGTTTGTTCAGTCGCAATCCAGGACAGTTCTTTGGGTGGGTCGGGATCGGTTAGGTAGAGTGACAGATCCTGGACGTATCGGTTGACCTCAATCATTCCCCGAGTTTTGAACTCTTCTGGACTGGTGTTGAAAGGATCGATTAGAAATGAATGGGAATACTTGACACCTTTAGGTGTGCTGGTGACCTTCTTATACGTCAGTTTGTTTTGAACATGCTTTGATGTTGAAGGCGCCCTCTTCTCTTTTTGTTCTCTTTCCTGCCAGATCTCATACCCAACCCAAATACGAACTTCTCTTATTATCGACTCTTCAAGTTCTTCAAGTTCTTCGCTCGTAACAGGCTCGGCCATCGATTTGTAGTTTGCCTTGACCCTGAGATTTCGGCGTGGCTCAAGATCGTCTGGCGGAGTGGATGAACCAAGCCCTGGGGCGGGGCTCATGGGCCATTCAGGTTGAAGTGGACTCTGTGCCAAGCGGTGAAAAAGATGGTTACTTCAAGCCTGACCACTACATAAATATGAGGTCCAGAAGACTTACCTTCGGCCCTTCAGATACTTTGCGTTTCTGACGCTTACCCGATCCACTTTGTTCGGGAGATTTACGTTTTGCTGTCTTATCTTTTTTCTTCTTTTCTTTTTTCGATTTCTTTTCTCCTTTCGATTTCTTTTCTTTTTTGAAACTTGAAGATTCAGATTGGTCTTGGTGATCATGACGTATCTCGCTATGTT